ATTAGATTATCGATAAGGCTTCTAATCCATAGTACGCTATTAATAATTTAAGTTTTTGTGGAGTCAAAAGTTATATGTGCATTTTCAACTATACAAGGGTTGGTGCCCAGAATTCCCATCTTGTTCAAAAGTCAATTGCAGTAATTTAAAGAACTTTGCTTAACTTATCATACTCTAAAGAAAAATGTATAAACTAGTTAAAATTAGCTATGATGTTTAAATGACATAGTCATTATCACAAGGTTAAATTTCACAACCATAAATATAAGGTCGAATTCCATAAACATTACACTTTGAACCCTTTATGATTTTGCTCCCACTCCTCCTTCTTGCCTCTCTGGTTCATTCTGTCTAATATTGTCTACCTTTTAAATAAAAATGGAAGCTGCTGTTTATTTGAGTGCGGACTAAACCTTTATATAAAGAAGTTAAGAGAGGTAGATATTTTTCAAGGCAAAGTCAGAATGAGGTTGGTGACATAAAACTGGGATTGTGACAAATTACTGAATTAAAACCATTATAAAAAACGTATGCAGTTAATAACTAGACTTTTTCCACCTCAATTAAAAAAACCTTTTCAGTGTTTTAAAAAGAAATAATTATCTGAACTGGCACATCAGGATATTAAATTGTATCTAGGGATCCTTAAAATTTCTCTTTCTCTTTTAAGCCTCTCATCGTACTTGGAAATGACTACAAATATAGAAAGTATTAAATCTACCCCCTTTTACCTAACTATTGACTTTAGGATTTTTTTCCCAGAGAATATATTAGTTATGATTTAAATACACTGGCAAGTATCAAACACTCAGTATTTGATTTCTGATTTAAAAAACATTTAGAATTGGAGTGGAGTTGTGAAATTTTGGGGGAAAAAGGATGGAAGAGGAATAACCTAGTAATAGAATTTGGGTTACAGCATAAGTTTTATAGTCATAGAATAGTAATAGCTCATAAGGGCACATTTTCACAGTAGAAAATTGTGAGAAACATAAGGGCTACACTTGAAGTTTATTCTAGGTTAACTAACATTTACAATTATTTAAACTGTTATTTCTGTTAGACCATATATTCTTCATTCTGCAGCATTAAAACTGACAATACTGTAAAACCTGACTAATTTGTACTTCTCTGATTTGGAAATTATATTAAATAGAAAACTAAATTTGAATGAGATTTTTTTCATTATTATTGTGAAGACATTGATAACCCATGTATAGTATAAATAATAGCTGAGAAAACATTTTAACCTCATATAAGATAAACTCAAGCAATTTTCAACAGCTTAAAATCATTCATTTCTAGCAAATAATTGGCACACTATAAACAAAGGCTATTTTAACTCAAGTATGCCACCTAAGGGTTTCTACAAGATCAAACCTAATTGATCTACTTGAAATTATTCAACATATTTGAAAGTAATTAGGCTATATTTCTTTGCTTTAATTCATAAATTTGAATATTCACCTGGCCTTTCCTTCCAAATATTCAAAATTGGCAAACTTTTGCTGCAATATTTTGCTTGAGTTTTCAAAAGAATTTGTGCAATTCAAGAATGAAATAAAATGTCAGAAATATAAAAATAAGCAAACAGTTAACATATACCTTTGCACTCTCATGCCTTAGGTTGAAAGTCAACTCTAGGTTTGTTAGAAAGTGATCGGAAAACTCAGGATACATATCCAAAACCTCTAGCAAGTCTTCTCGCTGAATCTTATGCAAGTCACAGTATGTGAGGGCTCTTACATCTGCATTAGACTTTCCAGGTTTGGCATAAAGATGAACCATTTCTCCAAATATATCATTTTTTCCTAAGAAAAAGAAAAGAAAAAGAGGCGGAGAAAGGGAATCCAAATTCAATGATTTCCTTCTAAAAGTAAAAGGGGGTCATTAAACAATTAATCAATCCCTGATCCAGAGATTTCAAATGTAAGAGCCAACAGCCCACAGACACTTGGGCAGCAAAGTTTCAGCACCTCAACTAAATGCCCAGCCCTTGTTTGCTGACTGGAAATTTGTCTCTAAGGGTGACTGGTATTTTTATTTCTTTATCTTGATTATTTGGCTAAGCATCTAGAATGTAGCAAACATACCTTCAGTCCAGTATGCCCCACTTTGCTCGCATAAGGTCTTGCCATAGAGTATTTTAATGATACTTTCAGGTGGGTGTGCTCTGATTTTGTCAATCCAGGAATATGAGAAAGGCCACAGTGAATCAGATTCATAATCTTTCTGTCTTGGGATGGTCTCTGCAGGTGATGCTGAGCAAGGGGTTACGGTGGAGTTGTTTTAACACTTAGTGGATTGGTGGAACAACTGGAACACACCTTGCTTCCTAATACCACTTTTGAACTTGCCCTTAGTAAGTATATCCAATTGCTTAATAAATCCGGTTATATTTTCTCAACATACGTAGTCCTGCTTTTTGTTTGTTATATGGCCTTTGTTTGGGAAGTCTGTCCTTCTTGCTCTTCTGTAAAATCTAGGATTTTTTCAGTATCTAACTTCTAACAGGCCTTCCCCATCACCTCTGCCTAGTCACATACAACCTGCTTTTCAAGGTCTTATTCAATGACAAAGATAAGAACAACAGCAACAATAACAAATATTTATTGAGAACTAATAGATGCCAGGCACTGTGTCAAATGCTTAGGTGTGTTGCCTCAATTTATTCCTAAAATAATTTCATGAAGGAATTACTCACAATTATCCCAATTTTATGAATACAGAAAGCATTAAAGAGATAATTAGTCTAATGTCACCTTCTTAGTTGAATGAAATGGAGGGAGGGAGAGAGCAGCCAGAAGTAAATCCTATGCATCCTGACTCCAGAGCAAAAGTTCTTACACACTTGATAGTGTATATTTAATCTCCTTCCAGTGATTTCCCTGAATGGCATGGCCACTTGGATTTTTCTGTTTCTGACCATCAAAGTACTTAAAATTGTACTTGTGGTATCTATACTTAATAAATACTGATATATTACTTGATTATGTAACTTTTAAAGATAATCAATGGCAATGTAAAACAGTACTCTCTTGTATCTATCCTGAAGCTTCTTTTTATTTTTAGAAAAAACTCCTTGGGTATATTATTTTAGTTTTTGGTAGACAATTTCATGTATACTTCACTGTAGAAGCTATCAAAGACTTGTAAATAATAAGGTTCTAATTAATCAAAAAATGCTGTAATATTCTTGTTTTACAAGGGAATTCAATAGTGAGAAATTGAACACCATATCCTAACTTTGTAAGAAGTACTGACATTAGAAAGGATACATTAACCACAGTTTAGATAAATATGTATCAGCCTTCCAAAAACAGGATAAACAATCATAATTTGTAAGGATTTTAGGGGCCGACTTACATGGAAATAGGGACAGAAAAGGGTAATCTCCTGATATTTTTTATATTTTGGTAGCTTAGTATATATATTACTGTTTTTAAGAAAACTCTGAACTATATTAAGCATGGGCTTTGTATTTCAATAACCAACATGACTGTATATGATCCAAGAGCAAGCCAGTCCATGTATATGGCTTAGCAACACTCTAAAATTACTACTTGATGACCAAGAAAGCTTGTTACTTTCTTGTAGAAGCTAGGACTGGCTGATTTGAAGTTCAGAAATGCAATGAAGCATCCTCCTTCCCTGGCAATATAGCAGGGCAAACTGTCCTGGCCAAATTTAGTGAAAACCTAACTTGATTGTGTGACCTTGAAATGATCTAGAATATGTGTTTATTCTTTGTCAGCTTATTGGATAGAAAACCAAATTGTACACCTTAGTCAATTTGGGATATAAAAAAAACTAATATAATAAAATTATCAAAATATATAAGAAAATCACTTGAATATCTTTATTCATGTATTCGAGTTCTATTCTATGTCATACTCTGGTTCTGTATAGCAGCAGGGAAAATAGACAACATCCTGTCCTATTGGAGATAACCATCAAATGTGAACATCAAAAACTGAGTGACAGAACATCATTGAATTACATGCTCACTATTTAAGTGGAACTAGATAATCCACAGGGGAAAAATGCAAATTTTTATAGAAATTAAGGATAGGCGTTATCATAGGGAGAGTGAGGCTTAAACCTACCAGCTATGTGGTAGGAGAAGAAAATAACTGACTGTATTTTTCTCTGTTTCCTTCTTCTTCCCCACTGTCCTAATATTCTAAAGAAGAACTACAAGTTCACATGGCCTAAATTTATTTTTAAAGAGGCAGATTAAACATGTGCTTTCTTTTCACCCAAATCAGTTGAAGTTATTACTAATTTAATCTCTTTATCACCTCTATCCCTGGTTGTTATGTTCATAGGTCTATATTAATTTCCTAGTTAAGGGCTGTATGATTCCATTTAATCAAACACAGTAGGTAAAAATGCAAAAGTGCACAATGGTTAAATTAAATTCATCAAAACATAAACCCATTTCATGGCAGGGCTTTGGCACACGCTGGCAAGTATTTCCTGCAACACATATATTTTATTTTAAGGTGTTGAGGGATCAAGCATGAAGCTAAGATCTTCTAACATAAAAAAAGGAATATGATTACTATTTTCCTAAATTTGGCTTCAAATGTCTAGGTGGCTGCCAAGAACTTAAAGAGAATCATCAAAGCATTTACACGTTGGAGAAAAAGTGAGACAGTTAAGAAAACATATTTTCTGCAAGGTTAATTTGGTTTGAACTGAATTTTAAATACAGCTTACAAATTACCCACTACTCTTAAACTGTTCTTATAAATACATACATCAGTCTTTTTTTTTCTAATCATTTTAAACTGTGCTTTACAAGCTAATAACTGAATATGTCACCATGCACTTCTAAAACACTCACCCAGAATAGCCACCACAATGTCATCTTTGAGAATTTCAATAGAGCCTCTGGATAAGAAATAAAGTGCAGTGAGGACATCACCACAGTGAACGAGGGTGTCTCCTGGAGGTGCATGGGTGGTCTTGAACTTCATTGCCAAAGCTCTGAGGCAACCTTTACTTGCCCCCCGAAATGCTTTGCAGTTTTGCAGCAATGTCTGGTTGAGATGTAGACAAATGTCAGCTTGTAAGCATTCTGGGAAACCCTTTAGGACCTGAAGAAAGAAAAGAAAGAGTTTCATACTACCAGCATTCTGGGTATCTCCGCTTGAAATACAGTCTTTTTCTTGCTAATAAAACTGCAGGTGTCATTGTCACGCAGGAGTTCCTACAACTCTTCTGCCTCGCCTACCTTAATGAATAGTTGGTTTGCTAAACATGTCAAATTTTTAACTCAAATACTTGTTCTCTGAATTAACTGCAGGCATTCAGACTCAATACAAATGCTGTCTCATTAAAATGTAATGCCTACAACTTTTCACACTGTTTCTCTTTCCCTACATTATGTTATGTGGCATACTGTGCACAGATATAATGCAATGTGACAATTAATAAGACATAACTAATGAAAGGTGGTACAACTAGAAAGACAATAAACCTTTTAAAAAATCTCAAGTCAATTTAGGTTGCCATTTCTGGTATATGTCTTAGTTATAATTAGTAAAAATGTTGATCCTGAAATAGCCATGGTGTTTGTAAATGTCATATACCAGAGTGTGCTATTAGTTTACAGTATTTGGAATATTTAAATACTAAATATTTTGATAAGCACTGAAAATAGAGAAAGGCAAGGAGAACAGCAAAAACACTTTAAAGTGTAGTCCAATATTCTGAAGTGGAAATTGCACCAGAATTTGCAGAGCATACGTAAGCTTCTAAAGTGCTACTGTTTTGACAGCCTATTCAGGGGCTAATTTGAAACTTGTTGAACAGATTAAACAATAGCTTGTGACAACTGCTACTCAATCTGAATTGAATAAAATTATTTGTCATTTTCACACAATTGTCAGTATACAATGGTTCAAAGACATTCAACTTTTGCTTCTCTGTGTCCTGCTATTTTGGGTGTTGTATGCAGATTTTAATTTTTATGTTGATGTTCTCCTAACAGTACAAGCAGAATTATTTAAATATGCTTTGATGTAGAGGAATGGGACATTGTATAGTGTCCCACTATAATTTATAGTGCAATTATGCAATTTGGAGATTTCCTATCTGTTTGGATCAACCTTGGTATGCAACATATAGCTAAAATGGAGCTAAAAGTAATCATGAATTGTTTGTAAGGCAATTCCAATGTATTTGGCTCACAGAGGAACTTAAAAATTAAATCATATGAGAAAAAACATATAATTATTACTATTTTTAAATATTCAAGCAAGCACAAGGATCCTACTATGTATAGGATCACTTTGATGCAAGTAGTCAGACTAGTATATTATAAAGAGGTTCAATAAGATACCTGAAGCACAATAGTCATGATATTGTGCTCTTGTTTTCTTCACTGTATGGAATCACTCACAGAAATGGACAGGGAGCATTTTAGAAGAAAATTAATAAACCTGAATTCTAGTCATGGATTTGCCACAGGTTGACTCTTGTACAAGTCACTTCACCAATCTGTGTTTCTCTACCATAGAATGAGAATCTTTGCAACACTGAATTTAGCCAAATTTCAATAAACTACTCATAAATAGTGTGCCAATTGTTAGATACAGCTCATCCAGCTTGGGGATGCTATAGGAAATCAGGTTTTCATCCTGAAGAGTCTGTATTTCTTGGCTCAGGCCCAAAAGAAATATGCCTCCCCGTGATAAGAGTTTCTGGGCACTCATCTGTAATCTCTCCCCTTAACTGTAACTGTTCGGCTTGGTCTATGTGACTGGACTCCTTCCAGGTTCCTTGCTTGGTAGAAGACCTCTCCCACACGATAACTTGCCTGGTAATTTCCTGTTTCTGCATTTGGTTGCTGGAGGCCCTTCCTCCTCTTTGTTGGAATCTTATATCAACTCAGCTTTTCACATGGAACCAATTGTCTGGGTCTCTGATCGCTTCTGCCATCTAAACCACTTCTTTGGACTCTTTGGCAAGTGATGCCCCACTGGAATTCAATACACTTGAACTAAAATACTGGCCACTTTGCTTGGGGGCCAGCATGTTAGAATGTTGTGGCCAAATTTAGTTAACTCCAGTTTTGGGGTGTAGTATAAAAAGAACGTAGTTTATACTGGCCTCTGCATATGAATTACTTCTCCTCCCTGATGCCCACTGCTGTCTCTGAATAATTTTAAGTAATCTCATGCAGATAAAGATGTATAAAGCACTACAGCAAGTTAACAAATTAGGTTTATCCATCTGTCTCTTAAGATTCACCTGTAATAAGGTACATGAACCTTAAGATTCACCTGTAATAAGGTACATGAGGCATTTTATATTTCATATGAGGAAGATATTGCTATGAGTATAGTAGTTAGCATAAGAATACTGAGCTACTGAGCCTGTAGCTGCTACTTCTGGCATTTTCCATGAAATATCCTTGAGTAAATCTTGGAATAGAAGAAAAATTGTGTGTGTGTGTGTGTGTGTGTGTGTGTGTGTGTCTGTGTGTGTGTGCACACGCTCATGCATGTTTATGCAAGCATGCTTTGAGTTGGAAGAGAGAAAAGAGATAGAGATGAGATTCTCCATTTCCCTGAATGTGTTATATGAGCTATGGGATCAGATAGGCTTGAACAGAAGTTCTAGCTTCATCATTTACTGACTTCGGTTAAATTACTTAACTTCTCTGAAAATCAGTTTCTTTTGTTGGTGAAATTAAATTAATAACATGTATTTCACAGAGCTGTGGCCACAATTTAAAGAAGAATGTGTATAAACACTTCCATGCACAAAAAGATTTTTAATAAACAATTTACTTCAGGCTTCCTCTGTTTTTTGGTCATGAATTTATTGTTCCTGAAAAATTAGTATGTTCTTTTTAGTTAGGAATAGACAGGCAAAAATCTATTGTGTTTTCTCTTTGGTCTGCCTAATAGGATATTCTCCACTAAGTTTTGTGTTCTATTGCCTCAGCAGAGTTTAAATGTTTTGCTCATCATTGCATCACCAGTTTAAGAATAATTTTTTCTTGCTTCTGACTATAACTCTTGTTTCGTTTCTGGCTTGTTATATGTCTTGCAATACTTGCACTTAGGTTGTCACTGTGAGTTGCCCTAAATCCCTTTTGAAATTAGGCAGTTACTAAAATCAATTTACAGATACGTTCTTGGAATTCTAATAGGTTTAGAATCACCCACAGAGCTTTAAGCATGCTTCAGAAAGTTTTTTCTTATTAAATGTCCTCAACCTCCAACATTCATTCTGTTGGAAGTGAAACCCATTGGAAAGGATAACATCAAGTTGGTGGAGCCATATAGCTCCTGTTGTTAATGGAGAAAACACACAGATGTTGGTGTGAACTTGTCTAGGTTAAGGACTTCTTATATGGTATTAGCCCTTAACAGATTTTCTTAACTTTCTTAAGTCAGTCACGTAGATCACTGAAGTAAAACTCAATAAAATTAAGAGTCAGTTGCTGAATGTCTTATTAGTTCTATAGTTTTAATGGCCTAAATAAGTTAGCAGCTCTAGGATTTGGGTTCTAAGTAAAGGGACTTTAAGAGGATCAGTTAAGAGTGGAAGCTGTAGTTGAACAGAGGTAGAAGTACACTGAAAAAAGTCTGAAATAAGCGGCAGGCTTAAGAAGATATTTATCCAGGGCACCCCTTTTCATTGGCCACAGCTGTATTGTCCCTTTGGCTTCCTATTCACTGTACTTGTTTGTTTTCAGGGTTGGTTCCCTTGCTAAACTCTGACATAGAAGCTCCTTGTTTATGATTCAGATACTGGCATTTTACCAGGCCTAGCAGATCTGGTTACAAATAATTCCTATGTCAAAGGCACAAGTACAAACCAGGATGCATGCTGATTTGGTGACTGTTATATCTATTTCCACTATATTGTTCACAGCTTTCTTGACTATCCAGCCTTAAAGCTTTGAAGGTACATGTCACCTTCCACTGTGCATCTGCAGCCATGGTTTTACTGAGGCAATCTAATTTTAAAGACCAAGAAACACCACCCAGAATCAGTTTCATGGCCTGCAGCTTGAAATAGAAGTTATTCTTTCAGCAAATATTTATTAAGTATCTGTTTGATATGGTTTGGATATTTGTTCCACTCATCTCACGTTGAAATATTATTCGTAGCGTCAGAGATGAAGCCTGCTGGGTGGTGTTTGGGCATGGGGGTGGATTCCTCATGGTTGGTACTATCTTCACGACAGTGAGTGAACTCTCATGAGATCTAGTTGTTTAAAAGTGTGTAGCCCGTCCCTCCACTCTCTTTCTTGCTCCTGCTCCTGCCATATGACATACCTGCTCCCTTTTCATCTTCTGCCATGACTGTAATTTCCTGAGGCCTCTGTGGGAGCTGACCAGATGCTAGCACTATACTTGTATAGCCTGCAGAACCATAAACCAATTAAACGTTTCTTTATAAGTTACCCAGTCTCAGGTGTTTCTTTATAGCAATGCAAGAATGGCTGAATATACTGCTATATGACAGGCACTATGCTAAGCATGGGAGCATAACAATGAATTAAACATGTCTGAAAATATATCTGGACTTCACGCCTTTCTCTCAATGCTCACATTAAAACAAAATATTACAGGGATAACCTGAATTTCCCACATTCTACTTTCATTTCAAATTTGGACATTTGTACTATACATTTATAATACTAAATGGTTGTTCAAAGAAATTCTCAAGGTAAGAATTAATTTAAGGCAAATAAAAAGTTCTAATGGCATTTTTAAAATGCTGGCTTATATGGGGGCAGATTTTAAAAATTTCAAGTTACAGAAAATTTTTTCAAGGCTGCTACAAATCCTTTATCTTTATTATAATATAATATTGCTTGAATATTTTATAAATGTATTAACTCCTCTTTACTTGAATTTATGTGAATACAACTCTTTGAGACTTTCAAAATCACATCATGACTTACAAATGAGAATTTGTTCTTTTAAGTGAGTATGAAATGCTTTCTGTGATTGTTAAATCAACCCTATAGTTTAGTACTTAAGGACCCGCAATTTAAAGACATTCTAACACAAATAATCCGACAACAACAAAACAAAATAGCATATTAAATCATAGCAAAACTCATAAAAGG